CAGATTGTCTGTCGGTCCATACATGAGGGTGTCTGAAACTGCCTTCAGGTGGTTCAACCACTTCAGATTCGTATACCACTTTCAGATTCACTATGAATGCTTACATGGTCTTGTCTGAAACCGCCTTCAGGCGGTTCAGCCAATTCAGGTGGATCCAATGCTTTCAGATTGCCTGTCGGTCCGTACATGGGGTATTCTGAAATTGCCTTCAGGTGGTTCAACCACTTCAGATTCGTATACCACTTTCAGATTAACTATGGATGCTTACATGGGGTTGTCTGAAACCGCCTTCAGGCAGTTCAGCCACTTCAAGTGGATCCAATGCTTTCAGATTGTCTGTCGTTCCATACATGGGGTTGTCTGAAACTGCCTTCAGGTGGTTCAACCACTTTAGATTCGTATACCACTTTCAGATTCACTATGGACACTTACATGGGGTTGTCTGAAACCGCCTTCAGGCCGTTCAGCCACTTCAGGTTACTACACCAATTTCAGATTGCCTGTCGGTCCATACATGGAGTTCTCTGATACCGCCTTCAGGCGGTTCAACCACTTCAGGTTCATGTGCCGATTTCAGATTGTCTGTGCATGCATACATGGGGTTATCTGAAACCGCCTTCAGGCGTTCAACCACGTCAGGTGGATCCAACACTTTCAGATTGCCTATCGGTCCATACATAGGGTTGTCTGAAACCGCCTTGAGGCGGTTCAACCACTTCAGGTTACTACACCAATTTCAAATTGCCTATGGATGCAAACATCGAGTTCTCTGAAACCGCCTTCAGGTGGTTTAACCACTTCAGGTTTATGTGCCGATTTCAGATTGCCTGTGCATGCATACATGGGGTTGTCCGAAACCCCATGTATGGACTGAAGTGGCATATAAAAGTTAAAAAAAGGAAAAAGGTTTTCAAATTTTTAAACAACTAAAAATTTTAATGCACACATATGATTCACCGCGCGGGACGAATTGACAAGGGAGTAATAGAGATAAAGCTGAGGGTAAGGCCACCAATCAACCACTCATGAGTTCTACGTAGTTGCCAGAGACAAAATTGACAAGAAACAATTGCAGAACCATAACACCTCTGTAGTACCTCCCACCGATCACAAAGAAGAGAGCCACCACGGTAAACAACAACAAGACTTAGCGAAAACCCACCTGAACTGGAAACAAACTTGACGAGACAACGATCATTGCAGGGAGTATTCACATCATTCACAACATTACCAATTATTTTCATAGCATGTAGCCTTTCACGAAGCCCGTAACGACATCTCCCAGGTTTGGTAGGTTCATCACGGACGTTCAAGACAGGACAGGATTGCCGGATAGAAAACTTCTCACAATTGTCGACATTATCGATGTCAATGGAGCAAACAGGAATAGCAACATATTGGCGAATTCTGCACCCTCCCAACCAACGATACAAGCGCTCAATATGCTTCTCTCCTTCTACGACAGCTACATGTTCTGTACGAAACACGTGTTTATTCCATCGTGTACACAGATCCCTACGGGTTTGACTGACATAAACATGGCAAGACCATGGCGAGACAACAATATAAACCAACATGATTTCATACTTACTCAGATCCAAACCATCATCAATCAACTGAAGAATTGAATCCTTGAATAAGCCCATGGAATCTGGTCAGACAGAATCAAAAGAATCACAATTAAACAAAACAATAGATTCACAGCCCGACAGCGTAGGAGGCGAGGGAAAGAAGATCGAAGGTTACTGCACCAATTAGCCAAATGTCATAAATGTGTTGCACTCGGGATAGACACTAAGAAACAGTCTCCCCATCACTAGTCTTCACGAGATCTGGAGAACTGATGAATTCATCAGGGACGTCCACCAGGTCTTGCTCACCAAACGCTAACGTTGTTTTCTTGCTGACAATGTCTTGTTTAGCACGATCCAGAGTAGCGTAAGTGATTCCCTCCTTGGAACAAATCGCAAGCACCTCTTCCTTTTTTAACCCTCTCAATTGTTGTCTGTTGTCAACAACGAAAGCTTCACACTTATTCGCAGCAGGTCCTTGTTCCGCCAGTTCCTTCTCTTTCGCTGACTTCCGGACCGATCCCTTCGCCACCTCGTCAAGTTTGTCACGTAGGTTCGTTTCACGCATACGATGTTGTTGCTCCATCTCCATCCTTGACAGCGTCATCTTCAATTTTTCAATCTACTGCTCCGCTTTCCCACAATCTTTTTTTTCCCTCTCCACCCTTAACAACTCCTCTTTCTCCCGAGTAGCAAGTTCGTCGGCTTCGCGTCGTTCACGGTCTCTGTTCTCCTTGGTCTCGTCCCGAATCATGATCTTTGCAAACTGTCGGAACGAGGATCATTCATACCAAAAGGCGTGCAAAGGTATCAACATTTTTTGCCTTTTGCAACATTTGAGACACAGACCAAAGGAGTGATACCTGCAAGAAAAAAAAACACGCATAGAAATAACACAAAACTGAACAGGTCAGATGACGAGTTTTTGACAAGTTTTTGACGAACTGTAACTTAATACTAATTAAACGAACTTCAACTCAAAGCCTGCTCCCACTGGCGCCCAATGCACAAAACTGCACACACTAAAAGAAAACAATGGGCGAACAAGTAAACTTGCTCACACGGAGGCAGAATGAGTTGTCCCATCATTAGGTTCATCCACCTCACTAGGGCCCAATGCCCAAGACTAGACGCGATGGGGCCAAATGCCTAAAGACTACATACACTAAAAGAAGAAGGGCAGACAGGTGGGCTTGGCCGCACCGGGACACAAAGACGCGCCCCAACATCAGGTTAATGCATGTACAGAGCTAACCAGACCCCGACATGACAAGAATAGGAACAAATGAATGAGAAGATTTATGACAGCGACTGAAACTCTCCACTTTGACTTGACACGGATGTAATGCCCAATGATGCATGAACCATTTCAGACCATTGTACGGGAACAAGCATTACACGTTTTTCACATCAGTATCTGCTATAACAAATCTGAGGACTGACTTCACCTCCATGGCTTGTTCGTTGAGAACCCATTTTGCAAAGTTGCTGATTCATAGACATAGAGTACAAGCAATTCTGTTGTAACAAATCTAAGGACTGACTTCACCTCCATCGCTTGTTCATTGACAACCCATTTTTCGAAGTTGTTGATTCATGGACATAGAGTACAAGCATTCCAAATGCTTTGCAAATAAGTATCACCCACTCAGTCAGTATATCACTGCATTCAATATAGTTAAACAAATGTGAAAACAATAATTTTACACACCACGAAGAATTAAAATACCAACACAGGATTAAACATTATGGATCTTACCAGCTGGAAGTATCTCAAAGCATCATGCAGGAATATTGACTTTTGGCGACACATAACCTGCCCAAACAGAAACAGAAAGGGCACAATTTATTTTCTCAATGAAAAAGAAGGATAATGTAAAAAAAAACACATAAAATTAAGGCAATCTCGTTGACCCAACGCACTGTAGACAGACATACACAAAGCCACAAAGACCAAACCATTCGAAAATAAAATATTAAAAAACTAGGCTACCTGAGTTGCCCGGGGCCACTTGCCCAACGAACAATCTAAATTACGGAAACCGAATTACAAAAACAAAATTCCATCACCACAAGATTCACGGAGATATGCACCAAAAAAGAGCAAAGCAATGAAGGCAATTCATAATGTAGGCCCTTTAGTGCCTCCACAGTCAATACAAGATTAGTAGCGACAACAGAGAGTGGTGCTGGCAAGCCCCTCGCAAAAGTGGAGAAAAAATCAAAAATATCCCACAGACAGCTGATATAGACTGAAAAAGGCAGAAAGTTGACAAACCCAAAATGCACCCACATACGGAGAGAGAAAGCGAGAGAGAGAGCGAGCGAGAGAGAGGAAAAAAAAAAGATTCTAACTTTTCACACACACTAAAATAGAATGGACCGGCAACTGTATCTCTCTCTCTCTCTCTCTCTCTCTCTCTCTCTCTCTCTCTCATGTCTCCTCTTTTGCATACACATACATACACCCCTGCAATAACTGGCAATGTTGTTGCACATGTAGAAGAAGCTGCTGCAATATGTGAAATGACACCTGAAGATGCTCCAACTGCAGAAGCTGCAGCTTCTGCCTCAGCTGAAAGTGGTGTTGCAGGAGTTGTAGGAAAAGATTGTTTGTGCAAAACATATACCTGTTGAAACAACAGGAGGTGCTGAAGAAACTGCTATGATTCCTTCAGCAACTGCAACACCATAACTTTTTTTTTTTTCACAGGGGCAAATGGGAGGGGTTTTAGAGAGGTACTGAAAAAGTACTTGTGTTGCAAGTGCAGCACATACTCTTTCTTTCTCTCTCTCTCTCACACTCACACACACAAACACACACACGGTCTCTCTCTCTCACACAAACACACACACAAAGTCTCTCCCCCTCTCTCTCACACATACCGTGCCACTCTCTCTCTCTCTCTCTCTCTGGCACACACACATACACATTCTCTCTATTTCTCTCAAAAACACAAACATGAACCTAATCCCATCAGCAGCTGGGCAGGAGACAAAAAACATAAAATGGAGAGCAACGTACCATTGCAGGAGAAGTCATGGCATTTTGTGTGACACGTCCGTGCATTGCAGTTCACAACATACATAACTGCTGGAAAAATAACACAGTATTATGAAAACATAGACAGGCAAAAAAAAAAAAAAAAAAAGTAACCAGTCATCAAACAGTTTAGTAAATTCAAGTGCTAGCAAATATTAACTGAAAACAAGTGGACCCGCTGCGGCGATGCCGTAACGATGAGAGGCGTGGTGGTGCAAGCGCGCGCGATTGAAAAAAAGATCATTTATGTTTGATTGTGAAAAAAGGCACTCCTCCTCCTCCTCCCCCTCCCGCTCCTCCTCCGCCAAACAACATGACAAAGATCCCGCCATAGCCCCGCTCCCGCTCGTTCTCCTGCAGCTCCTCCCTCTCCTCCTCCTCCTCCTTCTCCCGCTCTCGCCCCTGCTGCTTCTCCTCCCGCTGCTTCCCCTGCTCTTTCCCCCGTTCCTCCTGCCGCTCCTCGCGCTCGTGTTTGTGCTCCTCCCGCTTTTCCTCCTCCACCTATATCTTCTCCCCCTCCTCCAGCCCCCGCGTGTTCGTTAACCCCCTTCCCGTTTCCCCTCCCGCTCCCCCTCCCGCTCCTTCTACTGCCCCTCCTCCCGCGCCTCCTCCGCCTCTTCCCGTTTCTCCTCATGCCCCTTCTCCCGCTCCTAAACCCCTTCCCGTTTCGCCTGCCGCTCCTCCTTCTCCAATTCCTCCTGCCGCGGCTCCTCCGCCCCTTCGCATTTCCCCTCCCACTCCTTCTCCCGCACTTGCTGCTGCTCCTCCTCCCACTCCTCCTTTTCCCGCTCCTTTTCCCATCCCTCCTCCCGCTCCTCCCACTCCTCGTCCCGCTCGTCCTCCGCCAAACAACGTCACAAAGATCCCGCAATAGCCATCTCCTATGAAAAAAACGACAGAAAAATGGCCCGCCACATGGCTAGCCGAGAGAGAGAGAGAGAGAAAGAGAGAGAGAGAGAGAGAGAGAGAGAGAGAGGGAGAGAGAGAGAGAGAGAGAGAGAGAGAGAGAGAGAGAGAGAGAGAGAGAGAGANAGAGAGAGAGAGAGAGAGAGAGAGAGAGAGAGAGAGAGAGAGAGAGACTGAGAGAAAGAGAGAGAGAGAGTTAGGCAGACTGCGGTTGCACAGCCCCTACAGGACAAAAGACCTCAGAAGCAGACGAAAAACACCGACTAGCATGCAAGATGACGAAAATACATCTCAATGACAGACGGTATCTTCCAAAATACTTCCAGTCCAGTCACCGCCATAGCTAGCACTGGTGGATCCCTCTACTGGTTTCGCCTGCCCACCACAGGCTCATCAGGAGGGTGAACTCTCGTAGTTCATGTGCCAAAGAGGGAGCGATAGCCGTGCTCTCTCATATAAGTACTCATGTCAGCGTGTTACCTGTTTCTCTCAACAACGTTCTCCCTCGTAGTCAGAACCCTTCAACACACCTAGTACCCCCGTCGATGTGTGCTTAGCACACCGTATTCGCAGAACTGTATGTCCACTGTTCTACTCATGGTGCCGCACGCATCGGTCACCATTTTCAAAAATTGTCGCCAAAAACCCGTCGGGTTATCCGGGGTCTTCTCCCTCATTTTCAGTCGAAGTAAGTCTCCCGGCTTTCCGGGGTGGTTGTGCCTCACGACCAGAGTAATCGTAAAACTCACCGTCCGCCCAACGACCGAGTGGGGCCCAGTATCCAAAAACTCGGTGAGCCCAAACTCATCATTGTTGAGCCTAGACAACAGATCGACAAAACTCATGGGCCCGGGATCCGACATGCGGTATCAAAAACAAACAAATAGAAAAACCACAAAATAAACTCACACAAGCCAGTTAGTAAATAATGAAACAAACAATAAAGAGCAAAATCCGCTTCACCTTGTTATGACCTTTCATACTACAGTGCACCGGCATGCCTAGTGGTCCGGTGCACGTACTGTTCTTCCCCTATCGCTGTTTGCTTTTCTCAAGGTACCTCATCAAAGCAATCATACTCTCGATCCTGGAGTCCCTCGCAGCCTTAGTTAGACGGGCTAAAGCATCGAGAGAGACCTCTGGGGTGTATCCCCGGAGGTTGGTTTCCAGTATTGTACCAGCGAGCACCCCCATCACGAGCGGCTTACTAGTTGTCTGCTCCCAGAGCCTCTTCATCATGGTCGTCAGAACGGCCTTCTTCACGCTCTTGCAGGAGTATGATGCATAATCTTGCATAGTTTGGAATTCCAGACCTTTACGCTCTATGATAGCCTCCGTGTTCTTCGTATGCGGGGCATAATGGAGTTCGATCGGATTGCTGCACAAAAATACCGTGCCTCCGACGAACGGCCATGTCAAGCCGCAATCGTCCTTCCTGATGACTTCGAGGTGCCTATTATAGATTTCTTCGAACGCTCCGAGCAGATTCTCATTGCAGCTGGTCCCAGTCTGTCCCACGACGATGGATATGTCATCCATGATCCGCCAGCCGAAAATCAAGTAGCGGTTCTTACCCAACGATAGAAGGAACTGCATCTCGGCCATGGCACAGGTGATCGAGGCTAGTATGGGGCTCGTCGTCTTCCCCATCGGAATGCCGAATATCTGCCTAAAGATCTTTCCTCCACATCTCACCAAGGAGTGACGCAGATCGAATTGCACTCCTTCGAGTAGCTCCCTCCATTTAATCGAGGTATACCCCTCCGTTTTCTGCTTAGTCTTGCTCAGAATACACAGTCTACCTCTATATGACACCTTCACCACCTGCCATCCAAAATCCTTGTACTTCCGAAAAAGCTTCTCTACAGCTTGCATTACGGCTTCATGTGGAATTCTAGAAAACATCCCTTTGATGTCGTAGCAGCGTCCAGTCACGGCGCTGCAACCTTCATTCTTCAGCCGTTGTGCTGCGGCATTCATGCGCTCGCCCAACTCTGCCACTGATCAGATAGAATGAGCTCGTTGTCGGTAGCCTTATTAGTAGATAATGTAGGGCCCGCGCTACCCTTCTTTGTGCGAGAGCCCCTGGGTCGGATGGTGCAGGTGCTATTGGCCTCCACCTGTCCAGATCCTTGTGCTTCGGTATCACATATGTGATACCAAGGCTCCCATCCGGTTTCCATCCTCCCAATCTATCGAGCTTGAGATTTGCAAACTCCTCCTTGCATCCCCATAGCAATTCTACTTCGTCCTCCAGTGCCCCCATTGCCTCGTAATTCTCGTTCCACAGGAAAGTCTTCCCGAATGCGTGTCGATACAAGATTGGGCAGATCACTGTTGTGTCTCCCTGGTTACTGTCTATCGGCGCGAGCACCAGTCTGTCAAACCTCATCTTCCAGTCATTCACTTCCTTCTTAGTCCAAGCTGCATTGTCCCTCCTCTCCTGGTTAATGGCATCGGCAAGCAGAGTTACTGGTGTTGTCAACCCCTTCAAATGGTTCGTAGCCACCATGATGGCTCGCTTCAGTGTCTGCAAGTCAATGGCTTTGTACGATCTTGTCACCTTCCGAGAATTCTTGATGAAACTTGGTATCGATTCCAGTTCAACAAATCTCGTCATGACGTGCCCTTCCATCTTCGGCAGCTTCCGGTCTGCACACTGGCAAACATGCTCCGTCTCTATCGCGTATATCTTTTGGTTGTGTAGGAGTTCCCCAACCGTCTTGTTCCTGCACCAGACTAGTCTGATCCTAGTCTTCACGAACGTGGCTACGGACTTATCACTAATCTTCCTCTCAATGATCTCTTCGGTGGCTCTGCGTAGGCTGCTCTTCTTGATTCGTGTGTCATACTTTAGCTTCACGATGATCCGCTTCCTGATACTCACTCCCATCTTCCGTCTAACTGCGTTATCGATCTTTAGTCTCAAAAACGTCTTTGTCTTCTTTTCCACGAACAGCCCTGCCGTTCGGTATAGACCGATAAGCTTATTCGTGGTCAGAGACGACAAAGAGGTGGTCGACCTCGGCTTTCGTACGGTAGTAGCTTGCATAGGAAGCACTTATTCACCTCCGTAGTGGTCTTAGCCAGCAAGATTTTCCGGAATGTCACCGTAGTTCCTTCCTCTAGCCATTTCTTTGCGTGTTTCAGCTTGCTCACACTGTGAGCATTCACGATTATCGTTTCTCCATATCTGCTCCTGATCTTCCGCCATCCTTCGCTCCAAACTTTGCCTCCGTTGAAAGTGACGCATCCCAACCCGTCCACCTTATCTCGGTATTCATCCAGCAGACTGATGATCGACATCATCTTTGCGCTGTGGTCAGTGAAAGTGACCATTCTTCGTTCTCAGAGCACATCCCCTTCCCCTCCTTTCCCTTTTACCTTTCCTGTGTCTCCTCCTCCGTTTCCTTTCCTCCTTGCCTACCTCCCTAGTGTTCAGACTAGGACAGAGGTCGGAGATCAGGAATCTCTCATAAGCGTAGTCATCCAGCTTGTTCGCGTGCGTAATCGGAATAACCAGATATTTGTCGATGTCGTACGATCCAAGCCATCTATACAAGTGCGGTGCGAGTCCTAGTGCGTTGTTCTTTGCATTGCTACAATGTTCCCTCCGTCTCTGTATGATGGGCCTAGTCATGCATCCTATATACGCTTTCTTCGTCCACGGACTAACTATTGCGTACACCCCCCAGTATCCAGTTCAAACATCTCCTCCCAGTTCTCGGACCTCACCAGGTACTTCTCCAGCCACGGGATTTGCCCGTGCATTGTAAGTAGTATCGCGGTAGTCGTGATTGCTGACTCGATTCTCCTGGCGCCTTCATTGCTGATCCCTAGCCCCCGCACCTCCTTGCGCTGCGCGATCCTCTTGTTGAGTGTCTCCCACCATTGGGAGGTAGTAGGGGGCCCACACCGTCAGTCCGAGTCGTCCGGTTGCGTCGGGGCTGACTTGAGGATGATCCTCGGTTACCGAGATTCCGATGTCTCCAAAACCACCTTGTCCTTAACGGTCTCCTTCCTCGGCGTCTCCGTAGCTTTGCCTTTCCCTTTTACGTCTTCTTCCATCTTGGTCTCGTCGAAACCCTCGTACGCAAGCTGTACTTGTTGCTTCGCCAGTAACTCCACGATTTCTGGTTTCTTCGTATACTTGATCCCTCTCTTCTCACAGATCCTCCTTAGTGTGTTTGCTTTCTTCTCCGAGTAGATCTTATGTGTTGACATACAATACTCGATTAGACCCTTTTGAGAGCAACCTGCTGACAGCTCTTTGTAGCCGTCCGAAAGTGGTGTCTTGGGTTCCATGTCCTTGTGCTGCTCATCGACGGTTCTAGCACCTTCACGCAGCTTGCTTCCCCATCCTTCCGGTGGCAGCTTCTTGGAACATTCACCTCGTTCATATCCTATCGGTGTGCATTCCTTCATGGTAGTCGTCTTCTTCCCTCTCCTGCCTCCGGTCCTCGGTCTCCCCCTCTTCTCTCGTTTTCTCGATCTCGCCACCTTCATCGGTACGTCCGAATCACTCAAAGTGTCGGTACTGCCGCATTCTGAGTCTGACTCCACGCTCGTCCCATCGCTGGTGTCGGAATAATCCTGTTTCCTGTTCCACCGCGTCTTTCGATATCATCTTCTTCCCTTCCGGGTCTTGTCGCTCGTCCTCCCTTTCTTGGTGTTGCGTACTGCTTCCTCTGCGGCTTGATTTTTCTTCTTCCATTCCTCGTTGAGATCGATTCGTAGTTGCAACTTCAGTTCTTCCATTTTCCTTGCGAAGTCTAGATTCCGCCGATTTTCTTCCTCTTCCTTGGCCTTCCTCTCCTCTTCATCTCTCCCCCTCTCTTTTTGTTCTTGTTTCTCCTTCCTGACGAGTCTGAACTGCTCCTTCATTTCCTCGATCTCTGGATAAGGCTGGTTCTGGTACGTCGGTCTTCCTCGTTTCGCCCAGCAGTCCCGCGCGTAGTGTCCGCTCTTCCCACAGTTGTAGCATCTGCCGCTAGGTCCACCTGTCCCTCCAGCACCCCCATAACCCCCATATCCTCGTCCGACGGGGTTCCCTTGGGCGGCAAAATTATTTCCTCCATAGTTCCTTGTGCCTCCGCCGTTACCCCCGTTCCCGTTAGCGGGTCCCGTCGTAAGATACATCGTAGTATCAATTCCAGAATAGTGGCTTCGCTTTCACGGAATCTGTCCTCCTCTAGTCTTCTCCTATTCCCTCTGCTCAAGACGATAATAGTATCACGACTATCTAGTGTCTAATCGCCTAGCGATTAATCGGTTCGTTGCTACGATGGCGTGGTGTATGGTCCTCGCAGCTGGTTTCTAATGTCTCCACAGTTCCATGATCTCCTGATAGTCCGGACTTCTCCCCGTTCTAAGGGCTTACAGAGTTCTCTCGATGAGAATCATATGTTTCATCAACATGTCATACAACCTATTCCTTGCTTGCATATCCTCCACGCATTCCGCTAAGTACAACATTTGTCTAATAGTGGTTCTCACGTAGCAGTTTAAATACCAAGCGAGTCGGCATTTGAAAGCGTGACGTCTCCTGATCATCCTGAATCTCATGCAACGACATCCTGAACACCTAGGTGGCTGTTTGATCGCTTACAAAGCTAAACTAATGATTAATAATCCTATACCAATGATAGTGATCGCACAACCACACAGTATAGTTCCGATCCTGTTCCTCGCTGTCATCATAGTGCGAGATTTCTCCTGCTTAACGCCGAGAACCTTTAGTTAGTTCGTACTAAAAGCTCGGCTTGGCACGTAACCCTCACTAACTCAGCTTGGCTGTGTGTCTGATTTTGGATTCAACGCGGGTTCCGCGTTGAATTATTGAACGCGCGCTGAATTCGCGTTCAACGCCCGTTCAAACGCGCGTTGGACGGGGAAAAACGAGGTCCGCAATGATTTTTTTCCTAAGCAAAACATAATCGAACAAAAAAACAAAAAATATAAGGGCGTAGATCTTTTTGAGGTCTAGGACCCCATATTTTTATTTTTATTCTTTGAGCTTTTAATATATTTTTGAAAAATCAAAAATGTAAGCACAATGAAAAAAACAAAAACAAGAAATGACATGAGTTTTTTTTTTTTTGGGTTTCACAAAAAAATTTTAAGGGCTAAAAAAAAACAGAAAAATAAAATAAAAAATATAGGGTTGTAGATCTTTCAAAGATGTACAACAAAAAGAAATAAATTGTTTTTTTTTATAAATTCATGTATTTTTAAAAATATCAAAACCATAAACAATATTTTTTTTGGCCTGCATTTCTTAGGTAATCTTGCTGGATAGACTCCCTGCTGGGTAGACTCCCTAATTTGGCCTGCTTCGTTCACTGTTGTTGCAACCACCACCATCAAATCATTTGTGATCTGATGGCTGGGAAGTACTGTGCCGTGATTTCCAGTGGGAGGTCTCTGTTTTTTTTGTTTTTTTTTTTGCCTTTCTCCTGTTTTCCCAGCCCAGAAACTCGCAATGAACCTGTTAGGCCGGTGCCACTCAGTGTCACACTCGATCGGCCACACTCCAATCCGTCTGCTAATGGGACCATGCCCCTGGGGCGAGGTCCCATTAGCAGTCAGATAGGAGTGTGGCCGATCCAGTGTGACACTGAGTGGCAGCGGCCAGACAGGTTCATTACGAATTTCTGGGCTGAGAATCAGGAAAAAGGCCAACAAAAAAAAAAAAAAAACAGAGACCTCCCACCAGAAATCACGGGAGAGTGCTTCCCAGCCCTCAAATCACAAATGATCTGATGGTGGTGGTTGCAAAAATAGTGAACGAAGTAACCGCCACATTTTCTTGGAACAAAATTGAATTCTGTCAGAAGTGATCCTGACACCCTCCATATACCCTATGATTGAAGGAGGGTTGCACCCAATGAGATAATTGCACAACAGCAAGTAAAATGCTGAATATCTTCTATCCAGTGGGCTAAGGCCGACCCCAACCTCATTTGGGGTTGGCCACACCCCTAACCGATTGAAAAGATTCAGGCGGGAAGCTTTCTTTGCACTGACCGTGGGATCACGAGTACTGCATGGCAGGATTTGGGTCACTCAATTGTCCCACAAACTCGTTTCTAGCCTATCCTGTTGCTAGTGGGACCTCGCCCCTGGTGCTTGTCATTGCTGTCTGGTCGAAGTTGCCCTCAATACTGGTAGGGTGATGGTCCTGAGTGCTGGTCAC